CACAATAATTTATTTGTCAAACTTCTTTTTGACCCTATAATTTATTTTAATACGCCAGTTATATATTTATACATTTATTTCCAATAATGATAGGTTTGGTCCTCCATACTATGGAGCCTATAATTTATTTTAATACGCCAGTTATATATTTATACATTTATTTCCAATAATGATAGGTTTGGTCCTCCATAGATTAATTGTGGCATTTAGCCGATAATATGGCCATAAATAGATGACAGTTTGCACTTGCATGTAGCAACGTTGTGACTTTGGTCCACATTTTCTGACTTTTCTCATGCCCCTGTTTATGTTGGTGTTTCAGGTGATTCATCAAGTTTGTAGGGTTAGCGTTAGCTGCCTTCCACTGTTGGGCTCATATGCGAGCTTGACAGTGATAGTGTGTCGCACACAAAAATACTAATAATAATAATAATAATAATAATAATAATAATAATAATAATAAAAATAATAATAATACATTTTATTTGTAATGCACATTTCATTTGATGCCAAACCTCAAAGTGCTACAAAAAACAGATTAAAATAAAAACATTAATAAAAAAACATGGCACTAATTACAGTAATTGCAATGTGGCATATAATTGACAGTTTTCGCGACAATTTTGCCCAACCCTAATGTGGAGCTTTGTGGTTTGGGTGCAGTACAAACAACCAACGCAGCCAAGCTTCAATTAAGACGATTGTTTAAACAGGCGAGCACCTTTAAAAATAACTTGTACCTCATTCTAACATCTGAGTAGTTGATTTTATCTTTTGAATCCCAAATCTTTGATTTTCACAACATTCTGTTTAACGTTTTCAATAAGTTATAGAAAATTTCATCATCAAAGCACTTCGAGGACATCACGCAGCTTGACAACAAAACTGGTGTCTCTGTTTACTTTGTCTAATGATGATTACAGTAAAAAGCGAAGAACGATGAAAAAAATTAAAAGTTAGAGACACAGCACAGAAAATAAAGCGAATACTTTATTTATTTATTTTTTTTGAAACATACTGCAAAGGTGTTTCCAAATCTGCAGCAAACTATGTGCAGCTGTGAGCGGGACGCAGGACACTGTTATCATTCAAGTAATGTTTAAAACTTAATAGAACAAAACTAACCTGACCAGAATAATGGTAAAATGAACATAAATGTAAATAACATAAATAAATAAAATAAGAAAATAAGAAAACTTGTAAAGTATTAAGTTAAAAATATAATGAGCTGTGCTGCTTTTCCCTTTTGTTGATATGTAACGATCAGAACTTAGATGGACAGAAAAGATGTGATGATCTGTTTGCATTTTAGGTCCTGTTATGTGTTGAGGATGACTCTCAGCTATGATCAAAGTTTGGCTTACTTCCTTTGTGACTTTTCCTTTAAACACCATGAGGAACTCTGTGCCCTCCCTGTTTGTGAGCTAAACGTGAAAAGTTTTGAAAATTCCACAAGCACGGCACCAAAGCCATACAGAATTTTAACGTTTTCGTTCATACGAGCGTTTACATATTTAGAAACAAAAAATATTGCAGCACGTGCATTTTATTTTGAGAAATTCTATTTGTTAACTCGGTTAAAGTCTGTACCAACACATAGTGAGGAAAAACTGCACTTCAAGTTCAAAACGTAGATGTCCTTGAACGCAACTCTGAATGACAATCACTTTAGACTTGTGCTTTGTTTTGTTTTGTTTAGGTTGATAACACTCTCAAGAGCAAAGCAGAACACAGACCAATCATAAGTGCTAATTTAAAGATTACTGATTTGTAAATCATTTGAGTAGGATTTAATTAAATAATGGCTGAAATTACCATAATTAGTGTTTGAATAAGGATTGATTTTGTTAAATAATCATCGACTCACTGCTTATGAAACCAGCATGAGAGGAGTGTATAATAGAGCCTCACAGCCCCAACAATCAGTAAATAAGAGCAGTTGTGGTTGTTTGTGTTTCTTGAAGTGGATAGTGTGTTACCTCGCTGAAAGAAATCTTGCTGTTTGTCATCTTTTGGGGTGAACTCATCCATGTTTTCCCAAAGAAGTGCTGGAGCTTCCTATCAAAAAGCGTCACTCGCAGCTGGTAGGTCATATCTTCCACAGCTGAGATTTCCTGTGAGAAATAAAAATGGAAGACAGAGATCTTTAGTTGCTTCTAACCCATAAATAGCAATTTGGGGTTTTACAAGGTGGCAGTTTTCCAGTTTGGCAAAAACTTAATAATAATAGTTTGGGAATGCACCTCGCCTAGAGTTTTAAAAACAAATTCTAAACTCTGGGGGAAAAAATAAAAATGTTTTATTATTATAAGAACCGGGGGCTGAATTACAGGGGAAAGAATCACATATGCCTGTTTAAGAACATGAACAGAACTGTTTCTACATGTGAGTGTTAACAACAGGGAGTCACCTGCGGGAGGTGAGGTGCAGTGAGGTGCTTGAAGAGGAGCTGGAAGCCGAGGGACGAGGTGAAGTGGTTTTCCGCAGCTAGTCGGACTGACTGACGGGACGGGGGAACCAGACGGTTTCTCTTAAACACGTCTTCCCAGTGGTCTCCCGAGCTGGACCTGTCTTCCGTGTTTACCATATCTTGTGGTTAAGACAAAATGTAGCGATGCATTACATGAAAACAAGGGACGGTTGAAGTTAATTTGGTGTTTTTGGGAGGGCATCCGCTTCAGATTTTCAAACACGTGGCCGCCATATTGAATTTGAATCGTACGATTTCGTTCAGAGAGGGGTGGGAAAAGAAACTAACGGTTTAATTGGAAATATTAAAAAGTAAAATATACGTATGACTACATCCACTTAGCTTTAGAACCAAAGTAATTTTACAAAATATTATTATATTTAAGAATTAATGTCTTACTATTATTTTGCAAATGCTGGACCAAATGTCTCCCCCCCATCACTTGGTATGTCCCATCGTGCTGCGTCGGTTGCTATAGTAATAGTCATTTCTTTTGTTGCCAGACTGGGCTGGTTTACGCCCATTAGAGCTTCTTTTGAGCACTGGACAGTTATGGGTGGGTTGTTAAAATTCGGGTTGCTTTTTACCACATTTGGCGGGTTTTTAAAAGGTATTGTTAACACCATAACCACAAGGAAAAACAATTTTGAAAACTGTCCAGCAGAGGGCACCAAATAGACCTGAGTTGCTGACTTTCAAGAAGAAGAAAAAGGGGAAGCGGTATGTACAAACCAACAACAGTGAGATGTTCGGAGATTTTGTGAAAAACAAACCTGTTAAAATAAGAGGCTTTAGTGGAAACAAAAAGTATGGAGTTGCAGCAAAAGATCTAAAGGAGTTGGTTAAAAAGGGCTGTAAGTTGTTACAGGTGAGCTGCGTGTTTTACGCTTTTAGTGATCGTTTCGCTTTCATCTGTCTGTGACAGTGTTTTACTTTACTAAAACACATGAATGTGACTGTTGGGATTAAATTTTATGCTTTCATAAGACTGCCTTTTCCAATTAATAGCTCCGTTACAAAACAAAGCTTACAGATTAAACACAAACTGGTTTATAAAAAGTCGATCTTCAAAGTTTGGATGTTGCGTTTACAGACAGTAGGAAAAAAGGAATTAACATATTTTCTTCGTGCAGTTCAGCGTAATCTAAATAACAAGTAGCAATGTGTAATAACAATGTTATGTGTTTTATTTTACTCTTCCAGCTGCCTGTCTCTGGTGCTCGTGTTTGTTTGTATCAAGATGGTACAGTAGTGACTGAGGACTTCTTCCCCACCCTGCCAGATAACAGTGAACTGGTTCTACAGTCCAAAGATCAGACCTGGCCTGGAGGTACATAAAAACCTGTGCTGCTTTCTTTACCTGTTTGTTGCAGCTCCCTCATCACCTCTATGCTTCACTTCAGTTGTTTGTGACATTGGTCAGCTGCTGAACACGGACCGGCATGCTGACGCCCTCATTGAAGCAGCAAAGGGACTTCTATCGGATGAACAATCTCCTAAGAGGCGTAAAATTCTGACAGACCTGCTACAGAACCTGGAGGACAGGTCTGAACTGGAGAGCAGAGAGGATGATGAAGACTGGTTTACTGGTACGGTACAGTAATTTGATATTTATTTTTGTCCAGGAGATATTTTGGTAACAAACAGATGATGATGGCTGCAGGCAGCAAACCTCTGTAATACAGATGAGATAAACAAGCCTATTCTCTATACAGAGCTTGTAGCTGAAAATCATACATGTCATTTCCAAATGTTCCACTAAAGATATGTGAAACTTCAACTGGTCATTGGAAGCTTTTATTTTGAAAACCAGGTATTGATGCTCGATTCAAGTCAAAGTCTGCCTACATGAAGTTTAACTGTGAAAGCAGGATTCGAGGCTACATGAAGGAGGTAAAATTCTAAGACCAAACAGTTTGTTTTCTTTATCAAATCCTCGCTCAGACACTTGGCATAAATGTTCTTCAGTTTTGTGTTACTTTTTTTTTTCAGGTGGACGACGCAACCAAAACTATACAGAAAGCAAAAGTCAAAGCAGAGTTTTTGAAAGCGTCAAAGTGCCTGTTGGAGATGCTGAAAAACGCCAAGTACAACGGCAGCTACTTTGACAGGACTGGAAAGGAGCCAGATCGTCTCTGCACCCGGGAAGGGTGGTTTACCTGCCAGGTATGACAATTCATCATCATCACAGAACTGTACGGTACTTACTGGCTTTTTCCCTCATGGCAACGTATAATTTAAGCAGAGTCACGGTTGTGCAGTCGGCTCGAAATCGTGACGCCTTCAAGGCCGTTTTAGAGAGATGGATCTGCTTTTGATCATCTTCATCCCTCTTCTCCCCCTCCCTCTTCAGGGATCATTTGACAAGAAAATGTGCCAGTCGCTCCACTCCATCAACCCTTACAGCAGCCGGGAGACCAGGATCATCTTCAGCACTTGGAATCTGGATCACAGGTCGACACTTACCTGCTGAGAACAGCTGTATGAAACAATTTTAGGATTTTTACGTGATGGGACTTTTTTTTTTTTGTTCATTTTACATGTCCTGCAGGATTGAAAAGAAGAGAACCGTTATACCCGCTCTGCTGGAGGCCCTGCAGAATCGCCAGAGCACCGATGTCAACCTCAACTACTTCTACCAGATGTTGTTCACCAGGGCAAACCTGAAACTAGTTCACATCGTCTGCCACAAGAAGGGAGCTCACAATCTGACGTGCGACACCGAGAAGATCTTTACGACCGCACGTGACGCAGACGAAGCAAAAGAAAAAGCCAGAGGAAAGAAAAGGCGCTTGATTTAAATATTTTTCACCTCATTTTATTTTTTTAATTTTTTTGTATGAGCTGTCAACTTGCCATGTGCTTCATGCTTTTTTTTAAACAAGCAAAATCAGTGCACTTACACAACCTTTGTAATCATGAAAAACATTTATTTTTTTATATATATATATATATATTTTGGCAGAAATGTCAAATATAAAGATGGATTATAAAGACTGCTTGACAAATGAGACATTCAGTCAGTCAAAGATGCATACTGTTAAATAGTTCACATAAATAAAAAGCCAGTACAATATATACACGATTTAATGAATTGTCGGAACAACCAGCTACATTTAAAGTACAACAGGTTGGAATAAATCTAGTGCAATCACTGTTAGCCTGGTATGGTTTTCTAATCAAGTCTGTTCATCGCTAATTACTTTCAAACCAAGTTTTTATCTCAGAAAAAAAAAAGTGTACTCCTGATAGTAATTTACAAACTGATGCTGTTATAAAAGATTAGCTGCACTGGTGTGTGTCTGTGTGTATAAAAAGGTGTGTGTCTGTGTGTATAAACAGATGTGTTCAAAAGCTGCCAGTTCGAGGGTGATTTGTAGACACTTGGTGAATAATGTTTATGACATCTTAAAGGCACAGTGTGTAGGATTTTGTCAATTTTTTTTTCCGAAATTGAGATAATCACTAATGACAATAATAAAAAACATGTCTAATCATTGCAGACAAAGAYCTTGTTTTATTATTTTTACCTTTATAAAAAGCTGTTTATATCTCCATGGTTGCAGGTCGCCACTACAGGCAGCCGCCATCTTGTCTACGAAGGCTCATGAAGGACAAACTGCGGTGGCGGCGTCAAAAATGGTTTTATTTGCAGTACTATGAAAGTAATATTTGTTGTCTGTCATTGTAGCTGGGATAATTTTACTTATTAAAGCTCATAATCTTACCGCTTGAAACATCACTAGCCCTGAAGCTGCTGGTAGACATCGCGGTTGGAATTATCAAAGGTTTTTGACACCTGAGAGACACCATAGCAATGCCTTTGCGTTTGGAAGCGGGGGGTGGGGGTGGGGGGAGGACCAGGGAGGATGATTCAACCACTAGATGTCGTTGAAAACAACAAATCCTACACACTGTGCCTTTAATATGTTGTAATAAAAGTTCAGTTCTCGTCACGTGATCAGACTGTCATTCTAAACGTACTTTTACTGATTTGTAACCTTTGTATTTTATTAGCCACTATGATTGAAGCAAAGCACTTTTATAGACTAAGTTGGCATCTCAAACAGTGAACCCTGTAGACGTTGGAATCACAAGGTTCCTAGTCTGTATCTTTAATCTTTAACCAGGCACGTCCCACTGAAGTCACATCTCTTTCAAAGGCAGCCTAAATGTATGTTTATACAATGATACAATACCCAACATAGGGCCTTAAATATTAAAATCACAATGAGATAAAACCTCCAATAAATATATCATACCTAACTGAATACAGAAACCTTTGACAGCTTTAAGAGCAGCACGGTGGTACAGTGGTTCAAGCTACTGATGCATCTTTAAAACAGCCACCTTTTCCTGTTGGATTCCAAGGTGTTCCCAGAACAGCAGAGAGACGGTCTCTCTAGCACGTCCTGGGATTTCTTCAGGGTCATCCTCCTTTGGTGGGAATCCTGACCAGGTGCCAAAACCACCTCAGCTGGCTCCTGTCCATGTGGAGGAGCAGCGGCTCTACACAGATAACTAAATTAGCCGGTGCTTGTAATACAACTTGTCCTATATATATGTGCCCCAGCCAGCCTCGTGTGGTTTGATGTGTCCAGATAAAGTGCGGGGGTTAAATCCTCCAGGCACGACAAGTTTACATTCAGCCAGGAGAGACGTGAGATTAAATTAAGCCAAAGAGTTTAACAAGCACTTCTGTGACGCTGAGGCTACGTTCACACTGCAGGTCGTAATGCTCAAGTTGGATTTTCTTGCAAAAATATGTTTTCTTTTTTTTATGGACATTCACATTATACTTTAAATGCAAACTCCACCAGATTCCAGTAAGAACCCCTCATGGCATCGATGCGGGCCCGCAGGCACAGGAAATGATGTCACATTCAGCCCGCCGTTTACAGAATTAGCTAAACATGGACGCAGTGGTGGGCAGCACTAATCTAAAAATTTGTTCCACTAGCCCTAAAACGCTAACTCACATATTTAGGTCCCCTAATTCTAAAGCACTAACTCACTGAAAATTTTTGCAAAAGCTAATTCTAAAGCACTAAAATAGCTCAGTCAACCCATGAAACATTCTTCAACAGACAACATGAGTCACATATTGCCATGTTGCTCTCTTAAGACTTATCACTGACATTCCTCAGCTGTATTTGGGTTCATATGTTGTCAATATGTCACCTGGTGGATAAGTGACACACATTTAAACAAAATGTCTGACAGTTTTCACCGTCAGCTGTTAACATTAATGTTGATCAATAACATTTTTAGACCTCAGTTAGTGCTTCTAAATTTAAACAATTAATTTAGCAAGTGCTAATCCACTAATAAATTTCAAATTTAGCAAAAGCTCTAAAGCACTAATCATGAAATTAGTTCCCCTATTAGTGCTTTAGGGGAATTGTGCCCATCACTGCATGGATGCTACATGTTAGCATGTCGATTCTGAAATTGTGCAATCAGAGCAGATTAAGTAATAATCTGACATGATTGTTTAGTTCGCGGTGTACATTTTAGCCGTCCTCTGGTCGGCTGCTCTGGTGCAGCTTTTTATTTTAGGAACGGGAGCGACCAGCTAAAACCAAAGCATCGATCCAATGAGTTGATACGGTCTGAGAGCAACGTTACCATCATGTGTTTCTGTGGCTCCTCGGTTATCCGGGACATGGAAAAATAAAAGAACAAAGATGAAGCAACTGGGTTCTGTTGTGGAGCTGAAGACAGGTGGAGCTACAAGATTTAAACTGCTCGAGGTTGGTATCAATACTCTAAATACTAGGATTGATCCGCTCACCTCCACCTTACAGATGTAAAGGTCAGACGAAATGAGGCAGGAGCATTCAGACTGCAGTCACTGTCAGATTCAGTACCAAAAGGCCTGGGTCGGATTTGAAAACAATCTGATTTGTCACGTTCAGACGGTCGGGAAAAGAAAAATCAGATTTGGGCTGCACGTGCCTGCAGCGTGAAAGCAGCCTTAGAGTGGGACGGATCCTTGCTGGATTTTAGAAAAAAAAAAAGCAAGGGTTCATGATAAGGACAGGAAATAATTGTACACTTCCAAATTTAACAACAAGCATCCGCTTTCTCACCATATCTTCGATGATCTCTCATGTGACGCGGATGAGAATGTAACAAAAGGAGAAGAGCTACATGCTGGATCTGATGGGTAGTTTCTTTTGGTCAGTTTTTTCCTAAGTGCGAAGTTTTTCTTTTTGCTGTTGTTGGATTTAATCGTTTGGCTTCCCGTTTCAACATGGAGCTGTCTGCCTGCTTTCTTCATCTCGCTGTATGACGCTGAAGCCCACCGCTTCTTCATTGCTGTCCTCCCGTGCGTAGTAATGTCGCCGTCTGTCCTTCCTTTGATCGCCAGAAGGAGCCGCTGATGATCTTTGAGGTAAGTCCTGCGGGAGAAGAGGAAATCATTCCAACCACTCATCATCCTCATGAAGGCTGAGATAAATAAATTTGTTCCTTTCATTTACAGTTAAATTCACTCATTTTGTTTTCGTCTTATTGAACCGAGGAGGGAAAAGTGGAAAAAAACACAGATTTAGTCGGACTGTTTACACTCACAAAGCTTTGTTTATGTTGTTACTACAATTTATGGTAACAGATAACAAAACCATCTCACCTGTACAATTTCCATGTTTCCAAAGAACTGCTCCACAGGAAGGATCTGGTTACTGTCATCGTCTGGGAACAGGTTTTTACAGTTCTCCCCGCAATCCATGATCTCCGTTTCTGGCTTGTCCCAGGTGTCGTTTGCTGGGCAGCTGTTGAAGTCCTCCTCCGTCCTCCGCTCGTTCTCTTTGCCGTCCTGTCCTCCAGGCTCCGGTGAAGCCGAACATTTCCTCCAGCCAGCCGACTGGTGACATTCGCAGGCAATGCGAGACAACCTCTCGGCGGGATCGGCCGTTTTACCGGACCACGCTGTTGAACTGCCATCTGCCGTTGACTGCGCACTCTGACTTTTTGAACATTTCCTTTCTAAAGTGGAAATCTGTGACAGACGGTGGGAACAGAGCGATGCAGCACAGTTAGCAGTGAGTCACATCTGTCTGGTTAAAGGGCCTGTGGCACGCCTATACTTCAAAGTCAAAGAAAACATATTTATATTTAAGAAACTTAACATAATACACATGATTTTACCCATTTTGTCTCATAACTGGCCTATTTTCTCTTGAATTTGGCTCAGCAAAGTGAAACAGGAAGTGACATCAAAGGGGAACTCTAAGAAAAAAACTCTAGTCTCTGTTTATTGAAACAATCTTATTTAAACTCTCCTTCAACTCTGATAGTGACTCAAAATAATCTAAAGAAACAGATTCTTCTCTAATTACTGTAGCATTGCTCTGTTTACATCCAGATATTCCCCTTTGACATCACTTCCTGTTTCTTCACACGCAAATATCTCAACAACTGTTCAGCTCAACGGCGTGAAATTTGTTTTGCAATATGTTATCAATGTTCTCTTTCCAAAAACGCGTTCACATTTATTACAAAAATTTGATGTCACACGCACTTTAAGAGTCAACTTTTCACAGAAATACAATATTTTAAAGCGAACCCTGACTAGTTGTAAAACACATCATTTCATAAAGTTGTTAGCTTTCATGTTAGCGCCCAAGCTAACACGTTTACAGTCTTTATATTTACATTTTTACAGGTGAAGTAAACCTTTGTTTCTAGATGCTGCCTCGTGCACACATGAAACACAAACCTTTTTAGTCATCCTGGTCTCGGAGCTCCTCTTCCTCTTTCTGGATTTCAAGTTACCAACTTGCCCGGGCATCTGAAACAGCAACACACCGAAGGCTGTTTAATCCCTTAAGGCAATATTTTATTACAGCGTCCAGTTTGTGGGAAAAAAAAAGGTTCAGTCAGCTGTAGCAGCAGTTCTCAGGGCTCTACTAAGCAGCTATTTAGCTAAATCTCCTCACAGAGGCTCTCTGCCCTGAGCAGGACCAGATTAACTTCCATTTATTGGGCACCCCCCACCCAAAAAAAATAAATAAATAAAACTTGAACCAGCTTTCAAATTATGCTTTAGGAATATGTGGCTTTTCTTTTTGCAGTGCAAGGATGTCACTAAGAAATGTCAACACCAGACTAATTATTCGTCTCACGCCTTTTTATTTTACGTATTCACCGATTTCTTCAGGAGAAAAAACAAATGTGTGAGGTGAAGTCCGTGGATGGTGGTGAGGACTGACTCCTGATATTTACACAACAAATACGACTTCCTGCTGAAGACAGAGCCTGACACTTTCTTCCCGTCAACCTCCGATAGTTGTCTTAGTGTTTTTTTTTTTTTTTTTTTTTTACATTTCTGAGATGTTTCTTGAACCTCTGAGATAAAAACAAAACTGTACAACTGTGTATCTGCTGTGTAAAAGCTATTGTTAAGGATTTTAAAACAGCCTGATTTTTCATGTTGTTCTTGTTTCAGAAGTGCATAATACCTCTGAAGAACTAATAAAACAAAAAGTGACGTTATTTTGCCACTAAGATCCATCTAAAATGAGCTGTTGTTGGCACTACACTAATGCAGGTAGACACTTGTGATTTTATCGAAGACAAACGTTAATGAAACGTAGAACCTAAAATAAACAAAGTCCTGTTTGTTATTAGCCCACATTTGCTTCTCCAAACCAAATAAGGACCAGGGCATTGTGTTGCAAGAAAAATAAGATTCACTATAAGATGTGGAAAGGCTCTCCAAAGTGTCCTCAGCAGGTGTCATAGAGTTGTCCGTTTTTACTGCACATCTGTTTACAGTTTGATGTTAAGTCATGCTGATCTCTGAGTGATTCAGCCTTCCTGTTACACGACTTGTGTTATGATGACTAGAACACTGACAAACCAAATCAGACACGATATTATTTAGATCTGTCTCGTCCCTGCAATGTTGTGGACATTTTATTTTTTGTAAAAAAAAAAATATATAACTTTTTAATTAACAAGCCATGTATTCTTGTCTCTTTGTCTCCATTAAGTCAATATTTTATTTAATACAAAAAATATGATGGGAACTATCGTCTCATAGAATTCCACATCCTTAATAATTCCAGCCTGAAATTATTTAGCTGCAAAGGTGAAAAAATGATATTCAAGACAAAGTGCATCAAATTGATTGACAGCTCTACTAAAAAAATATTAAACGTGTGCAAAAAAATATGAAGTGTGCAAATGATAACTTGATAAATGAAACATGGTTAGAAACTATGCAAATAATGTTTTTAAATGTGCACAAGCAGAAGAAGCAATAGTTAAAATATGCCATTGATTAGGCAGGTTTTTTTTTTTTCAACATATTACTCTGGGCACTTCAGATTGATTTAACTTTTAAAGCCCAGTTTATGAAAATTATACCTCAATGTTTTAAATGGATTTGACTTTCTAAAAAAAAAAAAAAAAAAGCCTCTAGACTTACATGTAGTTTAAAATTCAACAAAATAAAAGCACCGGGTGCTTCTGTTCACTCGTGTCAAATTTTCAACATAAGAGAAAGATGGTATTCTTTGTCCCGAGGAGCAACTTAAACCTCTGAACTGATCCAATAACTTCATCTCGGCAGATATTGTCACTTTAGACACGTATTACAAACAAACGACTCAAGTCTAGAGCAAAATCTGAACACGTTCATGTGAATACATTATAATATGAGAAATTACGCGGCTAACTTAGCTTTCGGCTACCCTCGAGCTCTGTCATTATAATGACCAGATCATTGAGTGTTTCATATAAGATTAAGCCCATATCGGTTTTTAAAACGTATCTGTATTTATAGACGATAGCTAATTAGCCTAAAGATAATGGTTTACTCACTCAACTGAGTCTTGTCGCTTCGGTTAGCCGAGCACTTACCTTGCGCATCGTTTTTGCCGCTAGCTTCTTGTAATGGACGTGCTTCTGCTGGTTACGGACAAAAAATGTCCAACCCGTGACGGCGGCGGTGTCTCCTCGCTGTTTGTCAACCGCAGAGTCTTCTGGGTGTGTGTTTGTATTTCCTGCTGCGAAGTTCAATCAGCGGCCATGACGTTCCTGCGCTGTTTTTGCCCCACTTTTTTTTTTTAACTTACCTGGAAGCTGACCGTACGTGGACGACGTAAATACGGGGTTCAGCGTTTTTTACGTTGTATGCGAGCATTGGCCAACTACGTACAAAGAGCAACGGCGTCTGCGAATACCAATCCAAAAGTTGTCAAAACTTGGCTGTGTGAAACTTGTATTTTAACTTAAAACACACAAGTTTTAAGGGAATTTTTAAGCTTTCTTCAGAATCACAAGTGTCATCGTGTTCGAGCTATTAGCTTAAGGCTATTTTTACATGCATTAAAAGTAGTATAAAGTTTTAAGTGTAAATTACGCTAGCGTCATTGGAGGAAGCAGACAGACTGCGAGCAAACAAGATGTAACTCTTCAAGATGCCCACAGGAGGGCGCCAGAGTTCAGTTTCAGGTTTTTAGTTGCAGTAGGTTTATCATATAACCACCTGTTATAAGAAATATAAATATTCATATCAGTATCAGTTATGAAAAACAAACTGATTTGCTTATTATTTACCTGTTCGAGGTAAATAATGGGACAGAAAATGTTATGACTTCAGAAG